CATTGCCTGCGCACAATCTGCCACTACAGTAGGCCGCACCGGTTGCTTGCAGTGGTTGAATTGTCCCAGATTGGCCAGCGGGGGCTGCCTCAGCCTGGCTCCTGGGCCTGTGGCACTTTCCCCAGCCCCTCGTCACCTGGCTCAGGGCACACTGGGACTTGCTATCCTGTGCTCCCTGCACCGGCGCCCTGGACTCGCCGCTTCCCCCGGGAGGATGGCGTCCGGACTCAAACCGGGTGCTGGCCCTGTCGCGGCCTGTGTCTGGGCCCTCTGGGCGAACGGGACTAGGGCGGGGCTGTCCGCACCCGCGTCCGCAGCCACAGGCACGCACAGGTAGCCATGCGTGCGGCCCCGTCCCCCGCGTTCGCTCCCAGGCCTCCGATCCCGACTCGGGAGCCCCGTGCCTGCGGCCCTTCTCTCCGCGGACCTGGCGCCCCCTCCTGCGCTCTCTGCTCGGGCCTAGAATTAGCTGGAGTATTTTTGGACTTGCTAACCCCGTACGGCTGTGAAACGCAAACGTAGCTCGAATTCAGTATGTTTCCAGATATTTTTATCTTTAGCCTGAGACACACAGTCAAAATAATATGTGGAAACGTTACGTGTGACTCCATTTAACAGTTTAAAACCGCGGAGGCCTGTCCCTGCTCGCCCTGCATGCCCGGGGCTTTGTGCCCGCTGTGGCCTGGCCCCGCGACCCAGGATGACGCGTGGGGCCCACGCAGCAGCCCCGGCCACTGTGGCAGCAAGGGGAGAGCCTGGGGCCCTGCCCTCTCAGAGCTTCCGGCCGGAGGCGAGCACGTCATCACACTCCCGTTTCATTGGCCAGTCATGTCACACGGCCACACCCAAGGTCAAGGGGACAGTGAAATGCCACCAAATGAGGTGTCCCCAAAGAGGATGTGCCTTATTAATCTGATGTCATCCTTATAAATTCTTTGAAAAAGTTCCTCTTTGTACCGGTGAGGAGACGGATGCACTCCCGCCTATTAACCAGCACGTGCTCCCAGTCCGCAGTTCGCCCTGTCGCGTGGTGTATGGCGTGTACGCGTGCCGGTCGCGGTGTCTTCCGCCCCGCCCCAGCCCCCCAGCCCCTCCCTGGTCCTGTCTCTTGGGGGTGCCTGTCCGGACACTTCCTAGAAACGGGCCCCTACAGTACGTGCCCTTTTGTGACCGCATTCTTCTGCTCGGCCTCATGGTTTCGAGGTTCGCTCATGTAACAGGTGTCAAAGAGCCACCACTTTTTATGGCTGAATAACATTCTGTGGTACGGGCGCGCCCGCCGTTGGCTTGCTCCTTCACCCGCTGGCGGCCACTCGGGCTGTTCCTGCGTCGGCGGTGAGGAAGGCGGTGCCGTGGAGGCCGTTGTGCGGGCGGGTGCTGTCTCTTGAAGGAACGCAGCGGAGCGGTCTTTGGGTCACGCGAGAAGGAATTGCTTTTGACGAATACCTCGAGGGGAAAGCTGTCCGCGTAGGGGGAGCTTGGAGTCGGGCCCAGAGCCGACAGCCATGAACGTGGGATCTTGGAGGGGCTCCCAGGTGGCTCACATGATGGCAATACTTGGGGATGTGGTTTGGAAAGTTCTCCAAACCGGACCTGCCCTCCCGGGGGCTCCCGGCCTGTTGGTTTGTCCTGTGAACGTGGGCCATTATTTTTCAAGGCAAATGCGGAGCTGGAGCATCGGGCTGGGAGGAAGTCAAGGTAAAACGCCACGGAGTTCTCCGTTTTTCCAAGATCCTGCCATTTATCTTGAATAAGTGCCCTCTTGGCTGCACAAACCTTTGTTTTATTTCCGGAATTCTGCAGGAGTCTATTTTGACTTTTTTGTGCCAGTTCTGTCATTGCTTTTACGGAGAAGAGGATTTTGGATGTCCTCGCCCTGCCGAGGTCACTGGTGCCACCGCGGGTTCTGCACTGGAGGAAGCTCGTCTCTTCTTCACAAAGAAGTAGAAATACGCCTTTGAGACATGAAACCCAGCGCTGGCACAGACAGGAGGAGCATAAACAGGCTCGTGTGCTGCTAGATGGTGAAGTTTTAGCCATTTCTGGCACCAGCGGATGATTAAAATGTAATCTTTAATGTGACAAGTTGCTTTCTTACTGTGCCAGAGGCAGGTAGATATTGCCTTTGGGGTTTTTGAGAGGCTGTTGGATGGATGCTGGAAAACACGGTTGCACAAGTCCCAGCCATGCATGGAAACATGGTTGCAAAAGTCCCAGCCACACATGGAAACGTGGTTAAAAAGGCATTTAAAATAGAAGCACAAGTTTGGATCAGCTGTGAGTTGTGGAAAATGAAGTCGTTTTCCCTGGCAGGTGTGGCTCAGTGAATTGAACACTAGCCTGCAAAGGGTCGCAGGTTTGATTCCCTGTCAAGGCACAGGCCTGGGTTGCAGGCCAGGTCCCCAGCAGGGGGCGCATGAGCGGCAACCACATGTGGATGTTTCTCTCCCTCTCTCCCTCCCTTCTCCTCTCTAAAAATAAATAAATAAATAAATCTTTAAAAAAAGAAAAGAAAATGAAGTCATCTGTGTTGACATTCCACGTGGGAAAGTTACTGCAGCGTCTTCTTTGAAGGCAGGAAGTCCCCCGGGGCAGAGGTCGAGGTTTACCTTAGTCCTTTCTCATCCCCAGAGCCTCGCAGGCTGCCTGATCTCATGCATGTGAGTCAAGACGTTTGGTGGCGAGTGACAAAAAACGCAGTTGAAACTGGCTTAAATAAAAAAGGTGTGTGTCATGTACCCAAATTTACAAAGATATAGCGGACACAGACGTAGCTGGGTTTAGGGACCCAGAAACTTGCCCAGGAGTGTGTCTTTCTCCTGTCCTTGTCCCCAGCTTCCTCTGTCTGGGCTTCCCTTGAGTCGGCCCTTGCGGACGCGAGGCTGGAATGCCTTGGCAGCCACTTTTGGTCTGTGTGCCCACCCGTGAAACCTGAATTGGTGGCCCGGGGCCAGCGCCACTCACTGATAGCAGAGTGGATGACACTGAGGAAAACGACACGTCACTAAATAGAGGCACGAGGGATGGGCATCCCCATCCGGGGGGGCTCACCGGGCAGGATGGGCGTCAACCCCTCGTGGTCAGAGGCGCCCACACGGGTGTCTTTCAGCTGCGCCATGAGCTGAACTTAGCGGTTTGGCCTGGAGCCGTGCAGCGACCTCTGTTCTCTGCGCGCATGCGGGGTCACTCCCCAGCCACGCCGCTGCCATGGTGCTTTCTGCCCCCTCGCCTTGCCGGCAATGCACAGGTGCGCACGCTTCAGCCCCGGCGAGGACGGGGTGCTCGCGGCGTGGGCTGTGGTCTGCTCTTCTGGATTTATCTCCCCGAGGAAAGGATATTTTTTTCAAAAACTTCTTTTTTATCTTTTTAGATTGGGTTGGCATTGTTTTCAAATATTCATTACAAAGTTCATGTTTTCTATTGACAATAGCTATTATTTTATGGTTGGAATCAATGCAAAACAAATAATCTACAAACTGGGAATGATACTAGGAGCCGCCTTGGGAGTGTTGTAGAGAAAACCGAGTAAGCAATTAATTAATAATGCATATAAGGTACATAGAACTCTCCTCCTCCCTCCCCTCCCCCTCCTCATTATTATTTGTTGACTCTCTCTCTTCCCTTCCCAGGTCTGGGTGGGGAGCGAGGGGCTGATTTCCAAAGTTGAGGGTGGCGCCTACTGAAATAATTATTACCTTGGTCAGTTCTGGGGGGCCGTTACGGAGCGTTCGGAGGCTCCCCCTGGTGAGCTGGGCCGCCCGTGTGACTGCAGCTTTGGTAGGGGTGCTTCCCCCTTGGCCAGGGGCAGGCACAGCCTCCCCCGGGGGCCCCGCGGCCGCTCAGCAGGTCCTCAGCTCAGGCTCCGAGCCTGTACGTGGAAGCGTCTGCCGTAATGGCTGTATTCACCAGCTCTCGTCCTTCCCTGTGTCCTGGTTCTGTTCTGAGCTTTGTTTGTAGGTCGATCCGTGACGTTCGTGGAGTCCGCACACAGCAGGTATCCTCAGGAGCCCCATATCCTAGACCAGGGGACCCTGGCCCAGGGAGGAGTGACTTGCAGAGGTAGATGCTGGTAATAGACTAGAAAAGGCATTTACAGCCCCCTGCTCCACGGCTGCCTCCATTACAGAAGCCACGTTCCCAGCCTGCTTTGCAGGTGGCGTGGCCACGTAACGAGCTTCAGACATTCGGTGAAAAGAAGCATGTGCGGCAGGTGTGCTCCCCCCGCCCCCCGGAGCCTCCCTGCCGTTTGGACAGTGGGAGAGGTGGCTGGTGTGCTGGCCGCCACTTTGCTACCTTGAGGGCCGCAGGGACACAGCCCTGACCGCGCTAAGTCCCCGGCCCAGAGCTCCTCCAGACTTTGGGTTGCGCAGGAAGGACGTAACCCTTTGTTGGGTTATTCTCTTGACTCGGGTTTTCTGTGGCGGCAGACCCACGTGATTGTCCCTGAACCCGAGGCTTAGCCAGTGTCCGACCCGGCAGTTGTAGTCCTCCAGGTGAGAGGATGCTCCCTCGGTGGAGGCGGCGGCGGGAAGATGGGCAGGTCGGAGATACGTGGTGAAGGCCGAACTGTGGGACTCTGGGGGCCGCCAGAGGGAGACAGGGACCGGCCGGACGCCAGTGTCTCACAGGTCCTGGCTGGCGGGGTGCCTCAGGGTGCTCGGAGGCCGGGGGAGCGCGGGTGTGGCGGCCAGCCCACGAGGGCAGGGGTGTGTGTTCTGTGGCCCGTTCTCCTGTCTTCTGGGCTGTTGTCTGTCCTCATTTGAAACGAGCGTGAAGACTGTGGTCACTGTGTTAATAAGCTCTGAGAACGGGCAGCTGCTGGCCCCGTGGGCGTTGGGCCCTGATTTGACAGGCCTCAGAGAGGACATGCCCATAGGACCCGCGGACGGTTGGACGTGGCTGAGCAAGACCTCGGGGTGCCCGGTCAGCCTCCCCAGCCGCCGTCCGCCGCCCTCGGGGTGTGCCCGCCATTGACCCGCACCCCCTTCCCTCCTGCGCAGGACACGGAGATGCTGAACACGGCCGTGCTCACTGGGAAGGTCGTCTCGGTCCCCGTCAAGGTCGTGGCCGTTCAGGAGGACGGCTCCGTGGTGGACGTGTCGGAGTCCCTGGAATGCAAGTCTGCGGATGAAGACGTCATTAAGGTACGGCAGCTTCAACTCTGGTCCCCCGCGTGCCCAGCCCTTTTGAGGGCCCCTTCCTCTGTCCCCGGGTCTGGTTCTGCCTGAGCAGCAGCTCAGGCCCGAGGGGCCCACTCCGGGGTGGCCCACCGAGGAACGGGCCACTGAGCGTGCAGCCCGGGGCCCTGCCCCCGCCTGGAGCAGAAGCGACTTCCGTCCCTCCCTTCGCTCACAGGACAGCGCTCCCACGTTTTGGCCCCCTGCCTGTCCCCTTCGCAGGCACTGCTGGGTCGGAGGACACGAGTTACTTGGCATGTTTTCTTTAAATGCCTCCATTTCTCAAACTGAAGTACCAATCCAGCTTCATTATGAGACAGGACAACCTGTGAGCCTGACGCACTATATTTTTGTTAATAAGGATTAACATGAATGATGATTAGACTCCCCCGACGCTGCTCCTCCTGCCCCTCTGGTGAGGACCGCGTGGCTGCGTGAGGCCACTGGCTGGGGTGGGCCTTTCGTCTCGGGCCTGTCTCTCAGTTGCATCCGCACGGGGTTAGGGCCCTGCAGCCTCCTCCGCGGGGCGTTACCACACGCTCAGCGGCTGAAAATAACCAACATTTACTCTCCCCCAGGCTGGAGGCCAGGCGCCTGCCGTCAAGGTGTTGGCACCTGCTACAGTCCCTCGGAAGCTGGGGGGCCTTCCTGCCGCCACCAGCTCCTGGTGTCCCCAGGGATCATTGGCTGGTGGCCGCGTCTCCCTGATCTTTGCTTCATCTTCCCGCGGTCCCACCCGTGCGTCTCTGTGTGTCCTTCTCTTACAAGGACACTTGTCATCGGGAGGAGGGGCCACCCTCATGCAGAATGATCTCATCTCAAGTTCCTTAACTTCAAAAAGTCCGGAAAGACTCTACTTCCAAATAAGGTCATGTGCCCAGGTCCCAGGGCCAGAAACTGGCATCTTGCCTTGGAGCCGTAGTTCAACCCACTACCCGGGGAAGGGAACGCGTTTGGAGGCCCTGGGGCGCGGCGCACTTCCGGATATCTTTCGGAGGCTGCATGCGGTCTAATCAGCATATTTTATTTTCTTTGCTGAGTTTCTTCCAAGGTCTTCAGCATAAGGAAGAAAAACGTAGTCTTGATGTTGTAATTAGGATTCAGTCCTTGGATGTGTCTCTCTGACTAAGTGACAGACCTCATGTCTTTATGTGTCGGTAATTATGCCGCTTGCTAATGAGTTGTGGTCTCCAGCGCCGCGGAAGCCGGTCATCCGTCGACAGCAGGGGAGGGACATGCTCACCTCGTCGAAGACTCCGCGGGAGTCACGCTGCTCTTGCCAATGGCGCCGTGTGGCTGCACTCATTGAGCTTCCAGGCTCCAGGAATCAGCTGGGCTCGCAATAATGAGATGCTAAAGGCCTCGTAAAAGGGCATGAACGTTCGAACATCTACTCCGTCCCCGGGAAGGCCCGTTTCCCAGCGTGGTCTGTGAGGGGGAGGGGAAGGCGGTGGAGGTGATGTCAGGAAACACACAGTTGTCTGCCCCTTTCTGAGCCGTGTCGGGAGCTCGTCCCTAACAGAGCTCGACGCCGCCTGCGAAGGCCACCAGCAGCTCTTTGATGGAGCTGCAGCCCCTGGGTGGCTACGCAGCACCTGCAAAATGCGACGCCCACCTTCTCCATGGCGGTGGCTTCACAGAGAAGGTGACGTGGGAGGCGGGTGCATCCCATACGTGGATGTCACTCTTCCGGCGGAGGGGAGGGGACGGGACGGGCTGCTGGCCACGGCATCTGGCAGGCCTGCGGTGAAACCCAGAACTGGTGAGTTTTTTTCTTTTGGTTGCAAGTAATAAAAACACAAATCCAACTGCCTTAAAGGCCAAAAAAGTGGGGGGACACATACTCATGCATGATGACTGCAGGCAAAGCTGGATACAGAGGGCTGTCTGGGCTCGGCTCCGCCCCTTCCCGGACATCGGCCGAGTGGCCTCTCCAGGTCTTTGAGACACGCGCCGCCCCCTGCGGGGTGCGTCTCCCCGGGGGTGCACCCCCAGCGGCCTCTGAGGTGTTTGTCGGCGCCGAGACCCAAAGATCATCTGACGAAGGCGTGTGTCATGGATGAGACAGGAAGGGAGAGACCCTGTGGTCTCTGTTCTGGCCACTTGGAAGGCCACTGCCGGGAGGCCTGAATGGTCCGTCCATGACGGGAGGGGAGACAAGAAACGGCACAGCCACGGTCTGACCGCAGAGGCCGGGCCGCCCGCCTCGCCACGCCCTGGGAACGTGAGCGAGCGAGGGCAGTGCGTCGTGAGCAGATGCCGCCTGGCTGGATCAGGGGGTCCCCGTTGGAGAGAGGGGCTCGGAGGGGCTTCCTGTGTTGATGAGGGGCTTGTGGAGGGCAGAGGAGAGGGGCCCCAAGATCTGCCAGTCACTGTGCCGGGCGGTGAGCAGACACCCCCTCCCTCGTTGGCCCCGCACGCCCCGCACATCCCCCTCGGCCCAGCCGCCTGCCATGACCGGGGCTGCAGGAGGGGCAGCCGGGCAGGCGCTGGTCCTGAAATGACTTGCCTTTGGCCTTGGCGGGGGTGGGGTGCAGGGAAGTGCGTTAGAACCCTGAGCCTTTGCCCCGGCGCCTCTCATGCGAGCCGCCTCTGCCATCAGCGAGCCAGTGAAAACGGTTGCGTCTGTCCGTCCTGCGGGCTTGTCCGCCGCCGCCGGCGGCTTCCACCCCAGGGAAACAAGTGCCTGATGCCTGTGGCCCTGCCGGCCTGCCCCCCCCCGCCCCGCTCCCTCCCCGGCCCCAGGCAGTGCGCTGCCCGGCAGGCACGGTTGGCGCTCCCGTGGGCAGGAGCGCAGCTTCTCCCGTGCAGGGAGGGACGGACGTGCTGGGGGACACTGGCTGCTCGCCGACCGACTTGGAAGCCGGCAGACTAGGTTCGGCCTCTGGGCGTTATCGGGCCGAGAAGACCCCCGGCGCCCCATCTGAAGGACACTTCCAGGAGAAGCTGATGATGAACCGAACCTAGAGAGGGGGGCGGTCACTACAGCTCCTGCGTGCCCCCTGGAGGGGCTGCCATGGGTCGGAACATGCAGCCGGGAACGCCAGCTCTCCACGAGGCGCAGGGCTCGGAGCTGGGCCTGACTGTCCTCGCCCGCGAGACGGGCTGAGGAGTCGTCTTCCCACAGGGCTCAGGGCAGGGGTTTCTGAAACTAAGGGCCGTTTTTTTTAATGGGATCTCACCAGCATTTTGGAGACAGCAATGGAAGGGGTGCGCCTGGAAGGGGCCGGAAGGTTCAGCGGGACTCGCACGCAGCGCCGCTCGGGCCGCTCCCGAGCAGCTCTCGAGTCCGCCCGCGCGCTTTTTGCGCACCGGTCACCAGGCAAGGCGCGCTGCCTGCCATGGGACGAGACTCGGGGCACCGGTGAGACATGTGTTGCAGAGCACCCCGCTTAGCCGTTCCTGCGTCGCGGCCGCCGTTCCCGCGTCTCAGCACCAGCGGCGCCAGCCGTGCCCGCCGTGGGCAAACCCCGATTCTTTAACTGCAGCTCAAGTGTTTTATCATCACACTTTTGGCCTGAAAATCTACTAGACAAGGCAAGTCATTGTCCCAGAATCGCCCTTACTGAAATAAGAAAGTATATTTTGACCCTGGGGTGGGTGGGGCCGCCAAAGTCACATGGCAAAGGGGAGGGGGTGGGGTTCCATTTCGAAATCCACCGCAGGGCAGCGGCCGGCCGGGAGGGTGGGACCCTAAGGTGCCTTCTAAGCTGTGAGCTGCTGTAGGTGTTAAGTTTCATCTTTAAAGACCTGCCCTACTTGCGCCTCCCACCCACACCCACCGGCAGTCTCAGGGGGAGAGGTCAGAAGTACAGGGCGAGGCACAGTAGGTTTGCAGCTGTTTGCAGGGAAAACAATACAATGATTAATAAATATGAGTAGGAACACAGGAGCAAACTGGTTTGCGTACTCACAGCTGTAAACCTGCCTTTGCCCACCCTGTGCGTAAGCAAATTCCTCACTCATCTTCCGCTTGGGCCTGGGAAACTTCGCCCGATTATCCTTTCTGCTTTGAAAAAGCCTTCGCTCTGCGTTCCCGCCTGCTCGCACTAAGTTCACTCACTTCTGTCTGTGTTGAGTTTTGTCTGTTGCCTGTTTTGGTAACTTTTACGGTAGAGAAGGCCCGTTTCCATCTCCTTCCTATCTTGATACATTCCAGGTATTTGGTTGGGAGGTGGCGGTGTTCTATCGGTGGCTTCCATTGGTCATTCAGGAAGCTAGATTTTGTTTGATTGACAGGCAACTACTTTCTCCTCAGACCCCAGTATCCCGACTCATAGTGGGTGTTTGGTGAGTTTGGCGTCGGCGTGGGGCCAGCGGGTTGTTCACGCTGGGAACGCTTGTGTGTGTGGCACGAAGCACTGGATGCGCGGTCGGCCCTCAGAGACACTCGCTGTCTGGCTGCCCTGCCCGACTGCGGCGCATCCCGGGTAGGTCCTGTGACGTCGCATGGTGGCTGGCTTTGTCCACTTTGATCATGACAGTTAGTGATGCTGTTCGTATAAAATGTGTTGTCTTTGAGCACCTACTATGTGGCGGGCTTTAGGTGAGGTGATTTTTGTGGGCCGCCGCAGTCCACACTTACGACCTGGTGGCACCCTGGGGCGTGGGGACCCCACCAGCAGCCCTGTGGGCCCCCTGCACAGCGTCTGCCCGCCACGGGCCTCGGGCTCTACAGTGAAGGCGGCCCGTGGGCCCCTTGCAGTGTGAGTGTGCGGTGCGCTGGCTGTCGACTTGGGGTCTGCCATGCACGAAGCGACCCTTGGTGTCCCCCCCACACGTGGACACAGACAGAACATTTTCCTGATGGTCCCGGAGGGACAGTCACTGATATTTTACTTGCGTATTTGGAAGGTGTGAAGTGAATGGAGGAGCAGATGGTCTAACACGTGAGAGGCTAATGCTTGCACGTTAAAAGGGCTCCGCTCCCCGCCCGCCCCGCGCGTGCGCTGCGCTGGAGGCAGCACAGCGTGCGACTTCCTCACTCCCATTCTGCACAATTAGAGGTTAATGGGGCAAAAATAATTATATCCACGTCTTAGTGAGTTTTGTGATTATTTTCCTTCCAGGATTTTAATCTAATGCAAAGCTCTCTTGGTTTTTCAAATAAGATCCTCTTTATGGCTTGAATAAAGTGTGTGTGTGTATTGTTGTATTTTTTCTTTTAGTAACGTATGGTTACTTTATGCTGCTTCAGCTACGGCGCTGAGTGAAATATATCGCACCTGGGGTTTGATTAGTGGTGGTTTGAGTACATAAAAAAGTATAAGGTAATGAAAAAAACCACAAAAATAGGCAACGGAGGTTATGTAATGCCATTAAATTACGTTTACGGTTTTACTTGCCAGTGTTCCATAATCGAAATGGTCTTCCCGGGTGTCCTCATCAGTATCTGTCACTAATTAGCGCCTGCAAATTGCCTTGCGCTCAGATCCCGCTCATGCGGGTGCCCGGGCGGCCGGCCTTCGCCGCCGCCCTTCCAGCTGGTACATCACGCGCTTCCCGCCCCCCGCCCAGGTGTCTGACGGCTGCGACTCCGTGTTCGTGAACGGCAAGGAGATGAGGGGCAGAGTGGGCACCACTGTGAGCTTCACCCACCAGCACTTCGCCGCGCAGCTGGAGGTCACCGTATGGGCGCCCCGGCTGCCCCTGCAGATCGAGGTCTCGGACACGGAGCTGAGCCAGGTCAAAGGCTGGCGGGTCCCCGTGGCCCCCAACAGGAGGTGAGGTGCCGGGCAGCGGCCGTGCAGGCGAGCGGACAGGGCCTGTCGCGGGTGAAGCTCAAGGCCAACAGGGAGGGGTGGGACAGGCCCCCAAACTTCCTGCCCAAGACTCTGGCCCCTGAGCCGACCGAGGGTCTGCGTCATTCCTGACTGGGTGTCGTTCTAAAATCGCAGGTTTCCAGAGCCCAGAGCAGAGAGAAGGGGGGGGGGCTGTGTGTGTGTGTGTGTGTGTGTGTGTACACACGTGTACGTACACACACACACACACACACACACACACACGGGCCCGGCTCCGTCCGCACGCTGTTGGGGGCCCAGGATTCAAGGCGGCCTCAAGGCGTGCGGCCGCCTCCCCACGGGACAGTGACGCCCGTGCGGTCTGTCTGTCCCCAGGCCCACGCGGGAGAGCGAGGATGAGGAGGACGAGGAGCGGCGCGGCCGCGGGTGCGCCCTGCAGTACCAGCGTGCCGCGGTGCGTGTGCTAGCGCAGTTTGTGGCCGAGGCGCCGGGCGCGGGCCCACCCAGCTACCTGCTGGGCCCCGACTGGCAGCTCGACATCACCGACCTTGTGGCGGAGTTCGTGACTGTGGAGGAGCCGAGGGTCGCCCAGCTGGAGGCCGGCCGGACCCTGGTGGGCCGGGAGCCGGGCATCACCGCTGTGCAGGTACTGTGGGTGCTGGGGCCTCGGTGAGGGCGCGGCGGAGACACGGGGCGCCCGGGGCGGGCTGGGGGGGCGGCGGCGATGGTCACGGGCTGCATCCGCAGAGACCCCGCTGTTCAGCATCGAAATCCGAGTCGGTTTTTGCATTTTAGAGAGATTTAGGGAAAACCCTGAAGTTCTTTGGCCCAAGCTAAATCGGACCCGCAGCGGAAGCGGCCTCTTCCCGAGCCCAGCTGCCCCGGGGCGCGGCCGGAAGGCTGACTCTGTGCCCCTCGCCCGGCCCAGAGGCGTGGCTGTCCAGACGCACTGCACCTTGAATAATAGGGGGGGAAATTATTTAAAAAGCATGTGTTCTCATTAAAACTAGTTTAAGCATCTGCAGTTAAGTGCTGCCCTCTATTAGAGTAATAGCAAAACCATTTTTTAGCCAGTTGATAGGGTAATTAGGCAGAGATGGCGCCACCGAGTTTTAATAAAGATGTCAAATGTTACTGCTCATAGCTCAGTCATTTTAGGTGTTACCAAAGTCACATTTTGACAGAGCTGAATTAAACATGTCCGTTCATGCATTGCTTTTCTGTTGCTGTGTAACAGGTCACCAGGGACTCAGCAGCTGTAAGGCGCCGCTGGTCCTCAGGGGTCTGGGTGGCAGGGCTCTGCGCTCAGGGCGCCGCGGGGCTGCACCCACGGCGGTGGCTGGCCAGCTGGCGGCGTCTTCGGGGGAGCTCCCCGCGGCTCAGGCTGCTCCTCCTCACTGGGCCCGGCTTTGCCCGCCGCGCCTCACCGGGTCCTCCTGGCACCGGGGACCTCTCCGGCGCCCACCTGCGGCCGCGGAGGGCCTTCTGCCTCCGTGGGCTCCCGCGCCAGCACTGGGCGCTCCTGGAGGCCCCGGCACGGCCCCGGGCGTTGAGGCCGCCTGTGCCGTGGGAGTGCAGCATCGTCCCAAGAGCGGCTGCTCATCCCAGTTATGGGCGTGCGGGAGGCGGCGGGACCCCCACCCTGGAGGGACGGCGCCCAGAGCTCTGCCTGCCGGGTAGTTCTCCCCGTTGGTTAGCCACCCAGGGTCCAAACGAGACGGGGAAGGCGGAGGGGTGGCTGCGCCCCCGCTCAGGCTCCCTCTCCCTGCTGCGTTCTCACCCTCAGTGGCGTCCGAGTGCCCCGGGAGGAGCGCGCGGCCCCCACGCGTGTCGCCCCGAGGGTCGGTGGACGGGAGACGCCCCCGGGGCGCGCGGGCACCCAGGCAGCCCGAGCGTGGCTGTTGCCTCTAAATTCGATCGCGCTCTTCTTGGGAAGCGCGCCGCTGTCATCCCGGACCGGGTGCTGTGGGTGCCGCGGCCGGCGCGGGGCCCCGCAGGTTCCCGAACGCCTTCAGCGGGCGGAGGGCTGGGGGCCCTGAGGAGTTCCAGATGGTGCGCGGGGCAGAGACCGGACCTCTGTCGCTTCCTTGGAAGGTCCTGTCGCCTCTCTCGGACTCCATCCTGGCTGAGAAGACGGTCACCGTCCTGGAGGACCGCGTCACCGTCGCTGACCTGGGCGTGCAGCTCGTGGCCGGCTTGTCCCTCTCCCTGAGGCCTCACGGGGGGGACAGAAGGGCCATCGTGTCCACAGTGACGGCCCAGGACGTCCTCCAGGCCCCGCAGCAGGTAAGGTTCCGGGGTCCTGGGGCCTCGGCCAGTGGAGGCCTCTGGCTGAGGCTCTGCAGAGCTGGGGGCGGAGCTCTCCGAGCTGCGGCGGGGGTTCCTGCGTCTCGCCCCGTCTGTCCTGTCTCCAGGGGCCGAGGGGCTTAGAGACAGTCCTCGTGCGCATCTGTCCCTCGACTGTGTGCCCGTCTGCTGCTGGCCCGTGACCTCAGGGTCCCACATTCGCTTTTGCCAAAGCACAAGCTTTTGATGCTTGGAAATCCCACGGTAGCATGACTAACAGGCACCAAAGGGCTACTTTTTATTACGTCTTTGTTTTCACTGCTAAAACTCTCCTCCATCCTTAAACTGTCACACGCCATTTATAAGGACGGCAGGGCTCTGTGAGCGTCCCGAGGCATCTTCCCCGCCCTTCCCGCCAGTGCATTGCTCACTTCATCGGCACGGGGGTCCCAGGAAAGCAGGCTCCAAGCGAGGCTGCGTGCAGCCTAAGGCCAATAGGCGCGCCTGGATTTGATCCAGTAAAATGCCTGGTCTTTTCAAAGGGCCTTCAGAAAGGTCAGCATCCGAGCGTGCAGCATGGCGTGCGGTACATTGACATGAACTCCCATGTGTTTATTAAAGTGTAGTTGTTCCTCACGTCGGTGGGCAGTGTTGATTGTGGAGGCCAGTTCCGGCCACGCTAGGAGCTGCTCATGGTGGTCAGACGTAGAAGTTTTTTTGCCTTGATGTTCACATTTGAGGAACCTCAGGCAGGAAATCCTCTGTGCACTTGCAAGTTGGAGGGGACCCAGTCACAATGTAACACTTTGGTTTGTTTCTCTCAGGAAGCCATAATCAGCTCCTGGATTTTGTTCAGTGATGGTTCGGCGACGCCCTTGGACATCTACGACCCCGAGGACTTCTCTGTGTCGCTCTCCTCGCTGGACGAGATGGTGGTGTCCGTCCGGGAGAGCCTTCCGCCCAAGTGGCCGGTCGTGGCTGCACAGGGCGAGGGCCAGGGGCCCCTGATCAAGCTGGAGATGATGATCAGCGAGCCCTGCCAGAAGACCAAGAGGAGGAGTGTGCTCGCCACGGGCAGGGGACACGTCAAGGTCAAGTTCGACCCAAACATCGGCCGACACCACGGAGGCAGCAACGACATCGAGGGCATAAGTCGGGGCTCCATGGACCCCCTCAGCAATGCCATCGCGCGCGAGGGACACCAGGGGAGGGCGGCGCCGGAGTGGCCGCCACGCGGCGCCGCCGTCAGCCCGGACGGAAGGACCAATGGCAGCACTGCCCCACCGCCCCCTGGGGAGAGGAGGGACAAGGGGCTCCTCAGGAGCGGTGGGCCAGACGCCTTCACGAGCTTCCCCGCTCGGGGGGAGTCCCGGGAGCCCAAGCACCCGAGGGACCTCACCGTGGCCCCCCGGGGCCTGAGCGACCTGGAGATCGGCATGTACGCGCTGCTGGGCGTCTTCTGCCTGGCCATCCTGGTCTTCCTCTCCAACTGCGTGGCCTTTGCCTGGAAGTACCGGCACAAGCGGCTCGCCGTGAGCGAGCAGGGCCCCGTCCCCCACTCCCACGACTGGGTTTGGCTCGGGAACGAGGCGGAGCTCCTGGAGAACCCCGTGGATGTCTCGCTGCCATCGGAGGAGTGCACGACCGTGATCGACCGGGGGCTGCAGTTCGAGGAGAGGAACTTCCTCCTCAGCGGCGGCTCCCAGAAGGTCTTCCACAGCCACCTGCTCCGGCCGGCCGACTACGTCTACGAGAAGGAGATGCAGAACGAGCCCGTCACGCCGTCGGGCCCCAAGCGGAAGAGGGTCAAATTCACCTCCTACACCACCATCCTGCCGGAGGACGGGGGCCCGTATACCAACTCCATCCTGTTCGACAGTGACGACAGCATCAAGTGGGTCTGCCAGGACGTGGGGCTGGCGGGCTCGCCAGACTTCAGAGACTACATGGGAAGCCTGCAGGAGCAGATGTGAGCCGCTTTCCGACCTTCGTATTCACCTTTATGCCTTCTGTTTTCGCAGCGGTGGCGCGGCGAGCGTGGTTAGCAATAGGGGTGGCGTGACAAGGCCTGGGTCGGGGGGCCCGGGGTCCCTGTCCTCGACCGGCTCAGCGGCCTTGCGGGCCGGGAGCGCCTCTCCGCAGCCCCGGGCGCGTCCCAACACAAGTTCGGCCGGCGGCCCAGGGTGCGCTTGGTCCCAGCAGAGTGGACCTGACCCCACAGGCGCCGGGCGCCACCTCGCGGCAAGCGGCCGTGCAGCGTTGGAAAACACTCGTGTTGGTTTTTCTATTCCTAGACCTTCTAAAGCACAGCGGGCGTTCCTCGCCCTTGGCCTGAGACTGGACATGCACGGAAGATGCTGAATGTAGCCGCCCTTCGGGACGAAACTGCTCGTTGATTTTTATACGCGTTTGTGCCCGCTTCCTCCGACCTCTCGGCCCCTTGGAAACGTGAAGACAAGCAGTGTCCGTCTTTCCTCTGCGACGTGTTGTCACATGTGTCGGTCGCGTTGCGTCCTTCCCCGTGGGGCGGACACGAGGTTCTCTGCGTCTCGTCGTTTCGGGAAGTCGGTTCTCTCTTGCTCACATGCTTCACGCTTTCGGGGCGACGTTGCGGAAGCTGCCCCTCACTCGTCTTCCCCCTTTCTGTTGTTGAACTGTCTCGTGTCAGACGGGGTCATGGGGTTTTACTTAAAATATGAATATGCTGTGAGGGGGGCATTTCTTTACAGTTTTCTACGTGAAACTTACCAACTCTGGAGCAGAGTGGTGACCTGCACGCACCTGTTCGATCTCCTGCGTGTTGGAGGTCGCGGGGACCCCCGGAACGCACTTCCAGGGCAAAGGATCCCCAAACAGCTGCGTTTATACCAGTGCTTCGCGCTCCCCCAGCTCAGTACCCAAACCGGAACCTAAATGTGAAACGGACACACAGAGAGGCAACCCCATAGGGAATAGCATCCGAACAAACTTTCCATCTTACAAGAACAACAAATTTTTAAAAAATAGAGTGATGGTTTAACTTCGCAATATGTGGAAATCCACCCACACCGGGCCCCTCCCACCCCCCAAGAACACCCTGCCAGGGCTCTGGCAGCGATAACACCCGCAGAGGATGCGGCCCGAGGGAGCGGGGCAATGAGTTTTCAGCCCCAAGTTTGTAAAAATAAGCGGCTACTCCAGAGCCCAGGGAGCAGCTGTGGTGACACCCAGAGCTACTGGAGAATCGAAGGGGGGCGCGAGGGGGGAGAGGGACGCACGCCTCCTGCGTAATTTTTAAATACCAGCGTTCTTCAAAGAGCAGCGTGCCCTGTGTGGAGCAGACCGAGACTCCCCGCTCAGGGCCGCGGCGACGATTCCGTGCGTGGGGCTGGGCTGCCGGCGGCCGACGCCTCGCCCCGGCCTCCCCGGGCCCCGGCGTCCGGAGAGACGGGGCGTGGGAGGCCGGGGCGGTGCGCCGGCCGCAGGCAGGGGTCACGGGCCGGCCCGGGCCCAGCCGGCCGGAGCCTGGCGTCCCACAGAGGCGCCGTGGGCGCTCCCTCACGGAACCCGTGTGCGCGGGACGGTCGCCCAGCCGTGACGTGGCAGCCGCCAGGTCCTGCCTGTGTTGGGCCCACGGATCCCGCGTGGCGCAGACGTGACTGGTGACGCAGGTCTGAGCCCCCTTAACGTCGGGGTCAGGGACCAAGGCCGGGGAGGCGGGACCCAGGCACCGGCTGTTTGTGAAGAGACAGCCGACACCTCGTGGGGCCCTGGGACGAGCCGCCTTTCAGGGGCTTGGGGGCATCCAGGTCCGACCCCCCTGCTCAGAGGGCTGGGCGGGGCCTGGGCACGCGCTGGGGAGCTCGGGGCTGCCCGGGTCCCACAGCCGAGCTGGGGGCGGACGGCCGCCAGGAGATGTCACCTGCGGATCCACCAGAGCCACCCCGGGTGACGCAGCCTCCACACAGTCACCTTCCTTCCTGGTTTGTGCTGAAACTCAGTACAAGACTAAGGTCAAGCGCCCGGTCACAGAGGGGCCCTGCGCCACACGGCACACGTGTATGTGCACACGTGCACGGGCACCCGTGTGTGGGTGCGTGAACAGCGGAGAGCCACGGAACACAGCAATGAGCACGAATAAATCAGTGGTGAGCGCCTGCTGGCGCGGGCAGCGCGTGCCCTGACAGAGACGCACCGCGGTTCTTGCCGCCCTAAGCCCCGCAGTTGGCCGGGAGCGCGGGTCACGCCTGCTCGTTTTCCAGCCGCTCCATTTGGAATGAACCGGAAAGTAACACCCCGAAATATTGGACCGAAGACAGGGGAATGACATGAATTATTAAGCCTCAAAACACAACATCCCAGGGGCTGTGCATTTGCCTGGATGTCCAGGCTTTTACGGCTGAGTGAGGAGTGAGCCCATGTGATTGGGGTTGATAACATGGAAGAAACACGGCTGGCGGAGGCCCCGCATGCCCACGAGGCGCCCCGGCTCCCCCGGGCAGATGCCCGCACTCCCAGGAGGGGCCTCCAGGCTGCGAGCTCTGGGTCGCGGGGGGGGCCAGGTGCTCCGGGAGGGCCCGGGGACCCAGATGGCACGGGAAGGTGGCAACGAGAGAGAGGGAGAAGAAGAGACACAGGCAATATCCCCCCAAACCTTCCCTCGAAGGAACGCCCCCAGCAAACCCCGGAAAGCCACGCGCGCCCGGGCGAGGCAGCCCAACCCCCTCGCTGCGTCGTGCCTCCTGCGCCGCCAGCGCCAGCTCCCAGGTGGCAACGGCCTTCAGCTGGGGCAGAGGCTCCACCGTAAACAGGAACGCAGGGAAGACGGCCGACGTCCGTCCCACGGCCACGTCTGTAGACAGGTGTCTTGTGTGTCTTGGTCAGCCGTCTCGTCCACTGTTCCAGAAAAGTGCCCTCACGTCGGCCTGGTGGGACCGCGGCCCGCCGTCTGCCACGGAGGACACGCGGTCTGTCGTCAGCGGCCACAGCGAGGGCTGTCCTCCACTTCCGCCGTGTCATGGGCCCCGTTGGGTCTTCCACTCCAATCACCTCAAGAGCTGTCTCTGTTCTCCATCGCAGTCCCTGTCTGTGACGCCACGGCTGGCCCCCCGGCAGCCGGCCCCCGTCGGACACTCGCATGGGTGCTGCGACCCGTGTGTCGTGCGAAAGGACCGCGGTGGCCAAGTTGTGCTAACACACGGAGCGCAGGTATTTTTGTATGTGACATAGGCAATATGCTGGAGCACCGGGCGGTGCATCAGGATAAATACGTTGTTTAAAATAAAAGCATGAAAACCTGTAGCTTTTCAGTGTACAGTCGTCCCACTCCGCGTCCACACCGGCGGCGGGAAACCTGGGGCCTGGGGCCTGGCACCGCGCGGCGCGCCCGGGAAGGGGCGGGAGGGGCGCGGCCCGCCGCGGGGGTTGTACGGGGAACCTGCCAGACGTTTTAATCTCACTCGTCGTTGCTTTGGAATTTTTCCCCCTTTTTCTTTTTCTTTTTCCCTGGAAATATTTCAGAAATAAAGTGACTTCATTTTCCAGCATAAAATATATTCTAACCACAGGGTAGCGCGTCCTTTTTAACCTGGAAATAAAACATATGAACCCTCTTCGCTTGTTTCATTATTGCAGCTGCAGGCTCCCCTTCGCCTGCAGCATGTGTGCGACTTGACTGTGTGTCGCGTGGGACCTCCCAGCGCTGGGGTGCCCCCCCACCGGGTGGCTTGCGAGGAGGCGGCAGGGCTGCGCCCCCCCCTCCCTGGGATCGGCCAGGCCGCGCTCAGGGCTGGTGTGAGGGCGTGGTGGGCCTGACCTCTGCGTCCTTTCTGGTCTCTCCTTGTGGGTGGCTCACCCGGGTGTCTGTCTTGGGGCCGGGAGCTGGAGAGGGTCAGGCCTGGGCGCCGCGGGCCCAGCGCAGGCAGCGCTTGGGGGACACGAGGTCAATGCAGGCCATGGGGCTCCGGCCGGGAAGGGGACGTGGCGCCTCCGCTGGAGGCGGCCGGGGCGGGGGGTGGGGGGCACCTCAGACGCTGCTGCCTCCTCTCGGGCCTTTGGACAAATGCCGCCCTGGCTCCTAGGATGAAAAGGGCGAAGCGTAGCTCGTCACGATGCGTCCTGTGACGTCGCATGTGGGCAGGAGCAGCTCCGAGGGGACCCCGGCGCCCCCTCCCAGGTGGGCAGGCCCCCGTCCGTGGGAGGATTGTCACGTCTTTGGTTTATTTTTCCCATTTTAATCAATGAATTCTTCATGGATGTGTGAGTTGCTCATGTTTGTTTGAAATGGATTAAAGCCCGGACAAGGGGCATCGCGCACTCGGAGGACTGGGGGCGGGGCGGGGGGGGACTTTCCCTCGATGCCACCCAGAGGGCGTGTTCTCCGTTGCTGACACCCCGGCAGTGTTTTAGGGGATAAGGGGAGCGGCCGCGTAGCGGATGCTGCGGGGTCTCGGACCAGCCGCGCCCCCCGCCCCCCTACCTGTCTCCTGCTGTGCATGAACACAGGTGCGCGGTTGGTGATGCTCGGGGCCCGGCCTGGTCGGACCCTCGGGAGGTGGGCGGTGGGGGCTGCTCAGCCCGGAGACTAAGCGAGGTGACAAGGCACGTGCTTTATAAAGAGCCGCCTCGTCTCCCATGGTCCCAAACATGTCAGCTACTGAAGGCAGCTACTGTTCCTCACTTTTTAAAAAAGATTTTCTTTATTTAGAGGGGGAGGGAAAGAGAGAGGGAGAGAAACACGGATGCGAGAGAGAAACATCGACCGGCTGCCTGTTGTACACACCCCGCCCGGGAGCCCAAACCTGCAGCCCAGGCACGTGCCCTGCCCGGGCACCGGCGGACTTCCCGCCTGGCCGCCGAACCCCGCCGGCTGGGCCGCTCCGCGTTCCCCGATGTTTGCCTGTAACGGCTGCACTGAGACACAGTTCCCGTGCTGCACGCGTCATGCATTGAAAGCGCGCCCTTCGGTGGCCCGGAATAAGTTCACCCGTCGCCGGGGTCGGGGTGGGACGGCGGCCCCGGCCGGAGCCGCAGACGCCGGCGGGGCTCCGTGGGGCTTCTGGGGCCCTGAGCAGCGCGGGCCGGTTTCCTCGGGAGCCAGGGGGCCAGCGCTGCTGGTGGCCTTTACACG